TTAACCACCGTTCCCTAAGCAATTGTTGTGGAAAAGCATAATCAATTTACGGTTCATTATTTCAAGGTGATGATGAAAATGAAAATGCTTCAACAGGAAGTTGTATCAAATAGCGCAGTTATCGACGTGAATAACAGAAACATAAAGGTGTGCTAGGGTTAATATAATTATTAGGGCAAGGCCGCTGCGCCCTTTGGGCTCGATCAATTTCCATAAAAGAAAAATGTTAATGACTTTATATACAACATTTTTAAAGACCATTAAACAACTATGTAATTGTAAAATAAAAGATTTTTATATTTAGTAAGTTTAAGCCATGCAATTAAAGTAAATTATCTTGAACTGAATTATGCGCAGTAAACGTTGTGCTTGGTAGGCATTCCACAGCTGGCAAACCCAAATATATATATTTTTTTGTTGTTAAGTCGCAATAGAGCAAACTGCATCGATAACTTTCCGGTTTCTCACAAAAAATGTCAGAGGCAACAATGACCTACTGATATCTCAACAATGTTTTTGAGTAGCATTGACTGGCAAATGTGAAATGGAAAAGTAAGTTGGTCAAAATCTATTAGATTTCGCGCTGATTTTATCGTTTGTTAAGAACGCATTGAGTTCAGCGCCACATGAGGGTGTGCGTATTTTATATCGTGTTGCTGTATGCTGGATAGAGTGCAACCCTAGGCGAGTTACTTTAGTCGCAATCCGAATCCACTTTCGTCATGTTCCATATAAAGCTTTTGTATATATTGAAAAGGGTCTGGCCTAATGCATTTTTTCATTATAAGTATGACTGTACGAAAAATTGTGTTTCTTATATATATATACATTTGTGAGTGTGGCGCCTTTAAATAAAGTAAAATTAATAATTTGCGATTATTGTAATTGCAGTGCCTGTTTTTAACGCTTGCACCATGAGTCATGCTGGCTTTTGCAGCAAGCTTTCAATAATTGTTATTTTTTATTATCATATACCAATATATGTGTATGTATATATTATATACAAGTAGTATGAATATGAGAACGCATGTTATTCAAGATATGCAGGGTACTTTTTGAAACCCTCTTTTTCGTTAAGTTAAGTACGTTATACATATATACATACAATGGTGATTTATATTTACTGATGACAGAGTTCTGCTCAGCGTTATTTTTTAAACAGTTCTATTGTCAAGCAAAAGTATAAATTTCAATGAATTAGTGATTATTAAACCGTAAAAAACATTTATTTGCATTTTATGAGGCATTTCCTTTATATGACTAGAAATACCCAGTAGGGCAATGCATTTGAATTCAGGTGGAGGTAACATTTTAAACGGGGAGTGTATAGTGTGAGCATAAGGCAAAAAAAAGTTGTGTCAGCGAGAGTGTCTGATTGTCCAAGTTAGATGTTATTGCAAGACAATTTGTAAGTTTTCGCTTTAGTAACAGTATTTTCTTAGTAAATTCATTATTAAACTATTTGTAACTAGTTTACGTCTGATCCTACTGAGAACGGTTTAGAAGTATATAAAACGTCGCGCTTCCGCACAGTAAACATTCGAAACATTTCTAACGACGCTGCTAAGACACATACATAAACATACATCTATATATTTGTCAGCTGAATGTCAAATATCAACTGATGAGCTCGAGATATTTCCTTTAAGCCAGTGCATTACATCACTTGATCGAAAGAGTGAAAAAGGAAAATCCGTATTTCGATCCGACGATGCAAATGTAATGGAAAACACTCTTATTTGCCACATTGCCACAAATCACCATCGAAAGCAACGAAAAGGAAATTGCAGCCAAGTCTCGTAGCGTTTGTGGCTGCTGGCTGGTGGCTGGTGGTTGAAGGCTGGAGGCCGATGAGGCAACCAACCACCGAGCGGCAAGCAAACGTCGTTTTAACTGCAGCGGCTGCCGTTGGTTGTTACCTGTGTGCCTTTACCTGTGCGTCTGTATGTTTCTGAGGTATGCATTCGTCTTTGTGCCACCGTTTAATGCGTGCAGCGATTTCAATTTCCATGTTGCCATAATATATCCAATTGCATAATAATGGATTAGGAAGGGAAAATAATTATGGAAAAATCATTTGATATCCACACAGCCAAATACACACACACATCAATTTGTGCGTGTATGTGTATTGGCACGAATACGCATCGCTGTGGTTAGTTCCGTCTTCGAGCGCCGTTAGTGTGTTGACTGAGTGACTGATTGATTGACTGACTCATTGCCTGTGGGCAGATAAGTAGGTAGCTGGTATAAAGAGGGCCCAATTGGCTGCCAAGCGCGCTTGGCTCCGCTTGGAGTTTGCGTTTTGGTTTTGTTTTTGCTGTCTGTCATCATCGCTTTACGGATTACGTAAGATTGGTGACGACGCATTGACGCACCACCATCAGCATGCATACACCGCAAATGCCACATGTTGCATGCTATACTAGCATAGCCGTCGCGCCAGAAATGCAACGCTGCATTGTTAATTCGCTTTTGTCGATTCCATTCCGCATCTGATCGACTTTAACAAACATACAAATGTCTATGCAAATTTGTACAAACAGCTGTACATATGTACTACATGCCATACAATGCTATTATATAAACCATACGCGTGCACATACATATGTACCTTAATTAGCTTTACGCGAAATTTCCATTTGTCGGAAACCGTCAAATGTAGTAGACTGCATTTGATAACAACAACAAGCTATCGGTCTTGACAAACAGAAAGGCTGAATTGATTTATTTTTTTTTTTTATTATTATATCATAGCCTGATAACATTTTATTTCAAGGAACCTCTAATCTCCCAAAAATTATAGAAATAAAGCACAAAATACTCGAAGAAGATAAGCAAACATATATGTGAACGATATCAGACATTAGGGTCTAGAATTAGCTGACCATTTGTCCCGTTTTCGCCGGGGTTTCTTCCTCCTCAGGTTTCTCCTGGAGATCTATGTAAATATTTTAAACATGTTTTTCAGAAAATAGTTAAAACGTTCACTGTTATTTATTAGTCAGAATATTGAAATTTATTCAATTTTTTTTTTATATAATTTTTATGTAAGTTATATTTTTTCGCTTTTCCTCTCAACATACTTTCGTTTTTCTGAGAATAAAGCAATTACAATATTCTCCGTAAGCCGCCCATCCATAAAACAACTACAAAGGTCATTGTCAACAGTGGAAACTAAAGCAAAAACAAAAATATGAAAAATGGCAACAATTAATTAAGGCAAATTAATTGGCATTTATTAGCAATTGCAGAAATTTCCTTCATACTAAATGTGTCGCAGTGGCATTTTGTAATATGCTCTAATTATACTTCAACAAACGAACTGTGTACATATGTATATATATATATATATATATATATATAGTGTGTAATGGCTGTTGGAATCTTGCAAATGTAAAAATGCAAAACTGGCGAATGAGCAGAATAGAATTTGCAATAAAATTCTATTCCGACTGTAACTGCATGCTAAGCTCAGCGCTGAGCCATGTATATTGTTGTTGCTGCTAAGCGGTGATACTTGTCACGCACTGTAGCTAAAGGCAATCTTAACACGGAAAATGAAATGAATTGACTAAAACAAGCAGCCAAGCTAGACGGACTCGTACGAATGCTCACAGTTTTACTGCTGAACACATACACACGCATATATTTTTACATATATACACACACGAATATAAATAAATAATAGAGCTGTGCGCATAAACACACGTACGAGAATTCCTCAACGCAGAGCCCTATTTATGACAAATGCCTTTTTGTCACAAAACTTTTCAAAGCCAAGAACACTTTGCGGCAGCAGCAGAGACCGCAGAGGCAGCGGCGGTAGCAGCAGCGATTCTCTCAAAGCATTTCCCCTTTCATTGTTCTTTACTGATGCGTATTTTCCACTCACATACATACATATATATATATTTGTGTATGTGTGTATGCAACAGCAACCGCGTTTCATATTTCAAACTTGGAAATCCGAGCGGCTGCTTGCGGTGACAAAAACAAAAGCAAGAGTAGAAGCCAGCAGCAGCAGCAGCAGCGCTTAGCTTCTACCAGCCAGTTGTGCAACCGAGCGGAACAACACCGGCAGCCGCTTGACTCATGCAACAGTCCACGGTGGGCACCTACACGCACGCCACAATCCACAGTTTCGCTTAATGGGGCAGGTAATTGAACTATTGCGCACTTGCAACCGTGCAACCGAGCAGCCGGGCAGCTAAATTCGTGTACATACACGACGGCATCGGCGTTTAGGCCACCAATAAATGGCGGCGAGTGAGCTTTTGTTTCGATTGTAATTTAGTTTTCCATGTTTGTGGTTTCTATTGCCAATTATTTAATAAAAATCTATTGTGCGCTCGTAAAACTAAGTGATGCAATTGTTGTTAAATAAAATAGAGCGCAAAAGCTACGGAGTGGGGGAGTGTGGCTATACCATATGTGTTTGCTGAATTCTGCGCATTATTCGCGCGATTTATTGCCTCGTGGGTGCCAGATGTCAGCACAACATAAAAATTAACAAACAAACAAAAAAGAACGCGACATTTTCATTGTTAAGGTCGCAGACAATTCATACATTTATTTATGCCACAATTTAAAAATTTTACCTTACAAACTACATGTATGTATGTTTGCATTGCTAATGATTTCAATGTCTAATTACAAATTTGTGTGCTTAATGTTGCCATATTTGTAGGTTCGTTGCACCCACTTTCATATACACTGAATTAGTTTCCCACATATTTTTACGTCATATGCTTAGCTGGCAGTCAAATACGTTTGTCAACGCTAGATGGCGCTGTAGTTGAGATTTCATTACTTCCCTGTTCACGAAATCGTATTAGATTAATTTTAAAATTATACTTTAACAAAAACTGTAATGTCAAGTGCTCATTATTTTTTATAATTTTTTTCTATTATTTACAAAATCCGCATTTGACTTTCAAAAAAAATTGTTTTAAAAATAACTTTTGCAATATTTGATTAAATTAACTTTTCTTACTCACCTTTTTATGTGAAGCCACCAGAAGCGCGTGATTATCATCACCTACAATGAGAGCAAAAAAATAATAAATAAAATAACTCATGGAAAAAGAGAAACGTCATAAAAGTCTTCCACGAGATTATCATCTTAAAAATTAAGCGCAGCAAATTAAACAGCTTAAACAAATATTTGATTGCAAAATCAGTCATCAACAATGCACACGAAGTGCTCCAAGACAGCCTTCAAAAGCATGGTAAATCAGAGTCACAACAACAATAGATTGAAGTATGAAGTATTGCTTGAGAGGCGACGATGAGTTTGTTATTAAAATTTAAGCATTTCATCATGAGATAAAGCAGTGCCCAATGACATTTACGAGATCACGACAAATGCACGAAGCGTGATGCGATGCAGGAAGGAAAAAAGCACACCGAACGCTGCGTACTCGCACGCACACTCAAACATTTAAAATACATATAAAAGTGTCGATGCATACAGATGGCGCAAGTAGGGTTAGAGGAGGTGGCGGCGTCACATTTTTTGTGTGTTAGCAGTCTGTTTTTACTTGAAAGCATGGCGGGGTACGCGTGTGTGTGGCCCACATATTTCAAGTTGCAAATGAGTTTAAAAAAGTATTTAAATACATACAAACATGAATGAACACATGCCTATATAGCAATGTACCTGCGCGTTCGTGTGTATATGCTAATGCAAATCGGCGGCAATGGCGCTGGTAATGAGTGGTATTGGATTTCTGAGTTCGCTGAACCGTTCAAGCGCTTATTTACCATACCTTATGCACACACTCACACAAAATCAATGCGCAAATACAAATGCTATAAATTGTTAAAATATGGAATGCTAATGCTGAAGCCAGTGTTAAAAGTCAGCTGAAGTGCCGCAGCGCTCGCTGATGACTGTCATAAATCGCTGAACCACTGCGGCGTATTTCTGTTTGGTAATAATTGAAATGTTTAGCGACACTGAGTTCGCTCATCAACTGGAGCTGCGCTTGGCTTGCGCTTAACACTTGACTAGTGGTGAATATTCGCATTTGATGACAATAAATCATCATCGGCGATCGAGGGCGCAGGTGGCGAAGGGTGCCATATTATTCGAACAGCGTTCAAATGAAATAAATATTAGAAATATTCAATTGACAGCAGGCATGTTGACTGCTGACTTCTGTTTATTGGTGTTTTAAATATTTTGAACCGTTAAAATTCAAATTATGCCACTAGCAAGCGCATGACATCAGCGTGTGATCAACCGATGCCCGAGTTTGCTTAAAACGCGTAAATCACCAGCAATAAAAAAAAATTCATTTAAGAAATGGCAACGTACCGAAATAGGGAATTAAACCATTAATTTATGAGCTTCCAGCCGCAGCTGTAACATCATTATTATTAATGTTATTATTACGTGATACCAAAGCAGCAGTCAACAGGCGAAAACAAACAAATGTGTATCTAATATTTGTATGTATGTATGTGTATTTCTCCAAAATGACTACGGCGAACGCCAAACAGTTTTTTGAGTACAAAACGACCGTTAAATGTCAATTAAGTATTTCAGCAAATTAAATTCCGCTTGCGTGTTGCACATGCCACAACTTGTGTATTTCTTAGAACGCAAACAAAGCCAAGAACCAATAATTTGATTAGAAAATCTACAAATATGTATATGCGACACCACACGTACAGCTGTATGCTTGCCTCGATGAGAGTCGCGAAGTCTGCAGTCTCCGAGGCCAATAGAGACCGTGAGTCCCATCATTAAACGCCCTCTATAACTCTCCCTGACCGCTTCCAAAAGTCGCTGTTATTTTAAATTCGCGTGCATGTGTGTGCGCCCATTTATTGCGTGTGCGCTTGTGGAAGGTTCTTTAGAAAGCCGTTATTATTAAATAAAATAAATATTCGCAATCGCAAATGACATCATGCGAATGCCACAAACGCGTTGTCTTATTGTTTTTTTTTTGTGTGTGCGCGCGCTTGGGCAGCTAATTTATTCAATTAGTAAGAGTATCGAGTTTAATTAAATTTTGAGCGCGTAAATTTTGCATGCATTGAAACAAGGCAACAATGGAAAAGCGAATGCTCGACATTGAAAATCGCACATGGCCGGTTACTCCCCTTCACTGGAAAGGTTGCGACCGCAAAAAAGAAAATAAGAACTTCGAATGCACGCGCAAAATAAGTAATAAACGGTGAATTAGTTAAAATTTTGGAATAAGCTCGGTGCTAGTAGTTTCAAAGAATTATAATAAACAAAATTTTGGTAAAATAAAGAAATAATATTTTGATCAAAATTCGCCTAATAAGCGCTGCGCAGATTACTGGTATCTTTTATGTTTTAACTCGCTTGACCTAAAGAGGCAGCTTTTATACACATGTTATAATTTTCATCTTTAACGGGGTCAATTATAGCAATTACTTAAGCATGTGAATTCAACAAATAAGCATGCTTACTAACTTAAGTAATGATGGTATTTTGCTTTACTAGCCAAATAGGGTTGTTTTTGCTTTGCGATCTTCTTAGCGTAGTTAATTTGTGGGCTGAATTGTGTTAGAAGGTCTCTCTAGATTAAACATAGACATTAAGTAGAGTTTACTAAAACTATATACATTTTTATATGAACACACAGTGTGTGCTAATAGTAAAAATATTGGGCCAGCTAAAAACTATTCTTAAATGTGGGTTGATGGATACACTGGGAGAAAATTTTGAAGGAAGTCAACTAGAAAACTGAATGAAAATCGGTATGAACGAAGTAAAGATAGCAGCCCTAATGGAATTTTAACTTTATATATTAGCATAGACTTATTCACCAAAATAATATATTTTTTAACTATATTAAACACAACTTTCATATATTTCATAACTGATACATAATTATAATAAAGATCTAGTATGTTGTTAATATATGTAGTAAAAAATATATTATTCTGGTGAATAGACATAAAAGTTAGAAATTGAAATTTTTGGCAAACACTTAAAAATACCGACAATGTTGTTATATTTAGTTCAACAAAGCATAAAATCGTTCGCTGAATTTTCGCCGCTAATTTTTTCAAGTGCACATCACAGCTGCCCGCACATACTTTTGGCTTCTATATTTCTTTAGATTATGCTTTTATTATTTTGTTGTGGAGTAATTAATAAATAAAGAAATAAAGAAAGTGGACTAAGACTTCAGACTTCAAATGCGTGAGAAACCTGCTCATTTGTTTTCGAGTGTCGTAAAAACGCAATAAAAATATTTCAACTGAGATTTGCATAAAAAATGCGACTATAAAATTTCGCCGAAGCCAGTGGCTGACGTATGACCCGGAAACCACTTTCAACGCCACTTAGTAAGAAGTAATTACGAGAGCAAACTAACTATTTATTTTTGTTATTGTTTTCTCTAATAAAATCAAACAATTAATTCAACAAGTTGGCAAACATTATTAGTTTTATTAATTGGCTGTTGTTGGCATTTGGTGGCATGAATGATTGGCGGTAATTAAATCCATTAACGGTAAGAGTCAATATGCGGCGCTGAACCCCGCCTTGTAGTAACGTTAGATAAAAGTAAATGAAAAAAAAAACGGAAATTGTTAAATGAAACATTAAACATAATAACAACAAAAACGACAGTAACAACAAGCTAAGCGCACTAACTGTGGGCGTACGACGGCCCGTGCAAATATCGCAGCAGCTGCTTGGCGTTTGTCCACAGCAATAAACACATTAAGCATTCGGGCACACAACAAAAAAAAAAGGCACTTGCTGCCACTTCCTCGCTTGCAGTGTTGCACCTGCCGAGCTCGCCCGTCGAAACGCAGGAGTTTCGCCCAGTTTTTCCAATGGATTAGTCGATTTAAATTCCTCTCATTGCATTTTGTGAGTAGAGGGGCCTCTGCTACTATTTGCTTTTATTTCCCCAGCAGTGATAGCGTCGCCGCCCCTCCCGCAACGGTTACAACGGTAATTTTAAAACTCCATGGCGTGGTCAATTACGATCCGTAGTTTATGGTGTACAATGGTGTGCGCGTGCCTAACGGCACATAATGCGTTAATTTGATGGACTGGCGGGTTGGCAGTCAGTTAGCATTATTGTTGAGCAGTCAATCCCCCCACCACCACCTCTGCTTGATGGCTCTCAAATGCTTATCGATAACCGTTAGCGAGTAGCGCCAACAAAAACAACAACTAACACATATGCTGTTGTCCTCAGCCATTGCCAACTATCACCGAAGGCTAACGAGCAAACGGTGCATTACAACAACAACAACGCTTAAAAAGCCACAGCTGCACAAACACCAATGAACGCCACAATCCGTTGCTGCCAGTTGAATTGCTAATATGCATTTTGTTGTTGTTTTTGTGATTATTACCAACTAGTTGGCGAGTATTTAGCCGGTAGTCAATCAGCTGGCTTATGAGCGCCTTTACCGTTTTTTCTCAATTTTCGCAATCGCCTGCTTGTGCATTTGATATTGCAAGAGTTTTTGTTGTTATTATGGTTTTTTGCTTTTACATTAATTCTGCGCTTTTCAACTTTATTATTTACGCTCACAAATCGACAAGCGAGTAAATATTGAGTGTCTGCAAAATATGCGCTACGACGACTTCATTCACGCGAACACACAGCCACACACACACATATTTTCCCTCTTGTTAGTGTGTGTGTGTGTGTGCACAAACAATTGACGCTAATAAATATTGATATTTAATTAAAGCCAAATGACTAGAAAGTGGCCGGAGCAGCGCAGCGGCCGAAAGGAGACAGCCGCGGGCCCGATTCGCGCTGAGTTGCGAACCTGTTTGAGCTCGGTCTGCTGCGCCCTGGAGGCGCGGAACTGAGACAATTTCTTAAAACACCAATGTGCGGATTTTTACTTTACTTTACTTTACTTGATGAAATACCATAGAAACGAGAAATGAGAAATGTCGAGTAAAATGTACCGTTTAATGAGCGAGGGAAGTATTTATTAGAGTCCAATATCCATATGAGTATGCATGTGTTGCATGGGTGGGTATGGCTCTGAATTGGCAGCTCGAGTTTCTGGCATTTG